GGGGGGGAGTGAAGGAATTCAGAGAATTAGCTAAATCCCCTATTAAGCTGGCAGTCAGCTTTCGAATGACAAGCGCATTCAGGAAGGCGATGACTCGATCAATGCTGAATCGTCCTCCAAAGTACCTGAAGAAGGTGGTGTGCTAAAAAAGAAGAAAAAGAAGTTAGGAGGATCGGATAAGGTTCGCGAAAAGAAGAGGATAGCTGCTGAACAGGCTCGTAATGAAGCAATCCTGAATCAGAGAGGTGAGTTGCTTGATTTCATTACGGGTTTTCATTTTCATCCACTTCTTCCTCCCTTCATATAACATGAATTGCCTGAAGTTGATCAGACTCTTGTGAGCGCGGTAACCATACGACTCTCTCGAAGTTGTGGTGGTTTGAAGACCAGCTGAATGACTGGTAAAGACAGCTCGCTGTTTTCCCTTCACCAGAGGAATGTAACTCCAAATGAACGATCTGAAGGGAACGAAGACCTCATTACGGGACTGACTACTGACATTTTGCAAAAGCTCTATTGGTTCTTACAACTAGTGCTCGAAGGAGTCCCGATGGGGTGATTGGTACAATACTCAAGGGAGTTTGGAGTTTTGATGGGGTAAATAGTGATAGCAAAATTGTAACTGTCTTGAGAAGAAAGTTTTTTCGGTAGGAGGTACAGTCTTGTTCGTTGCGGATAATGGGACGTGTTCACCTGTATCACCTGTGCTCCCGTTGATCATCGAGTGCCTCGAGCGGGCGCTAGTATTCGTCCCTGCAACGTGCTAGAGTTGCCCGATGGGTTGTCTCTGCTCCGGGACATGATGAACTTCATACCATTCGTTCGGAGCTCTCAGTCTTACCATCGCCTAGGCGGTCGTCCAGGTGTTCGCTTTACATCCCGTGGAATCCAGTCGGTAACTGCTCTGGTCCAGCGGTTATCTTCGAGCGCATGACGGGCCGTGGTTCGATCGTCAGCGGAGTGCGGAGCTCCGGATTCCCTCTCTCACTTGCGTGTAGCGGGAAACTCCGAGCATCGCCCTTTCGATGGCGCGTTGAATAACGCCGATCGCATGCTCATCCTGCTTTCGTAGAGTCCAAGTCTCTGAGGCGTACGTCAAGGCAGGGAAGGACCGCGGAATCGAAGAGGTGGGCACAGAGCTTAGTGTTCTCCGTCTTCTTAGCT